TTATGTTTCCGGATCGCCCAGAGCGAGAGGAAGAACAAAAACCGTCTGATCGTCGGATCCGTGTATGTACGAATGAATGCGTGCGCACTAAACCACATGATAAGAGCGATAATCATAACATCATAAATAGTCAAGGTCAATGACATCGTTTGTTCGCTTGCTGGCCATTGGCACCCTTAACGGGGATGGTCTCCTGGCAGCCGCTGGGATGATCCGGGATATAACTGCTGTGGGTATCATTATAACCCCAGACGAGCAAATGACACGGCAGATGATTAGACTGGCCACAAGCCATCAGTCACCTGGTTTCAACACTCCTAGGATTATCACCCAGAAACTACCAGTATCCAGTTCGAGGAGCCCCGTATGCAGCCTATCAACGACAGCAAGCAGAATGGCTACCTCGCAGGGCTCGGGAGCGCCAATGAGGTCAATAAGAAAACCATCGGCTACTAGCACGCCAACTAGGGTTGAGCCAATACATAGGGACGAGGGTGCTGGCCATGCGAGGGTAGGGACACAGGTGGGTGTCCCCAAAAGACGGACGCAGCGCCCGGGTTTAAGTCCCGAGAGACCGGTTTTTTCCCCCCGGAACCAGGGCCAGCAGAGGAGGAGAAAGTGTCTCCTCATGGTTTATACCGATGCCGCGAGTGTAGGTAACAAGTGGCCAGAATTGGAGGCTCACGCATCTGAAGCAAACGCAATCGTGATAACTGAAACATGGCTATAATCGAGGGATGACATCAGATGCCGAATACCGAGAAGCCATTCGATAAGCAGTAGAATAGACCGGCCGGGCGACAGGGTAGGAGCCGGGGTTGTAGTCTTGGTAGCGGAACATCATGGGGAGAGAGAGGGTTTTAAGATTGCTACCTCGGATGTACAGAGTGGGGAAGTAACGATCAAAGTTGGCAATGGAGAGATCACACTAGTTGGTTTATATCAGAGCCCTAGTGCAGAAACATGGGAAGAAGACCAGCTACTTGCCTTCCTAGATGAAGTCACAGGGAAGGGTCGTGAACTCCTGGTTGTAGGAGATGTCAGTGCGCCGGAGGTCCACTGGGCAATACAGATGGCTCCTAGAAACTCCTTCGGGAATAAGCTAGCTGCGATGCTACACAGGAAGGCACCGACTCAGCACGTAGATAGGGCAACCCGGTGCCGTGATTGGCAAGTCCCGTCAATATTTGATTTCGTGGTAACTAAGGCACCCAACGACGTTCTAAGTTTGGGAATACAAGAACCCATCGGGAAAAGCGACTATGGTGTACTGCGAGTATTGATGAGTGCAATGGGACAAAGTGCGCCAGATAAATACCGCGGGACCTTCTGGTCCATCGATCAGGCCGCACTGATTGAATCGGGTCGTCAGTGCAGCTGGATGGTAGAAGAAGAAGAGCAATATGATGAGCGACAGTGGTGTCGAATTAAGAACAACATATCGGCACTCACAGACCAAGCTGCACCACTCAAGGTCAGACACTGGGGTGTTCCACCATGGTGCAGTAGCAAGCTGAGAAAAACTAGCCAGAGGAAACAGGCTTGGCGGCGATATCGGCGCACCGAAACACATCGTGACTTCCCGCGCTATGGAGTGGCAAGGAGAACAGCGCCCAGGGTGCAAAACGAATGTCGGCGCAGGTATGAGGAGTGGTTGGCTCTGCATGCGAAAAGCAATCCCAAAGCCTACTTCAATTACGTGTAGTGAAAGACTGAACTGAGAAAGGCTGTGGGATGTGTCAGAAATGAAGAGGTAACGCATAGGATTGACCGGGGAGACATGGTGGAAGTCTGCTACCTAGACTTTCAAAAGGCCTTTGACTCNGACTCGGTCAACCACAGGTTGATGATGAGAAAGCTTCGACGCTTTGGGCTAACTCTCAAGGTGGAACGGAGGATATGTAGTTGTGTAAAGGGTTGGAGCTTCCAGGGGAAGATAATGGGTGAGTTATCCCACAAAGGAGAACTGCATAATGGGGTCCCTTATGGGTCGGTGCTGGATCCGCTGCTGCTCCTACTGTACATCTGTGATTTAGTGGAGGGCTTGGAGAATCCATGTCTCCTCTACGCTCATGACGTAAAGCTGATGGGCAACCCCGACTCTGAGACCATCCAGAGGGATCTAAGCAAGATCTATGAATGGTCAGTGCTATGGGAGTTGCCGCTAAACATCAGAAAAGGCCAAACACTCACCAATCAGCAGGAAGACAGGCAGGGTAGATATCTCGGCCCGCCAAGCACTGGGAGTGACCTCGATGAAGTGAAGGAGACCAACGATATTGGTATTAGGGTTCAGGTTGACTTCAAACCAAGTGCACAGTGCCGACAAGCGGCAAGAAAGGCACTAGAAGCTTGCTACCAACTGAAGAGAGCAGTGAGCTCCAGAAGACCGGAGGTTGTACTACCGCTGTACAAGGCCTTTGTGCGCCCTCATCTGGAGAACTGTGTTCAGGCCCAGAGCCCATATCTAGTTGGGGATGTAAAATTACTCGAGAAAACGCAGCGGTATTTTACTAGATAGTTGACAGGATTTAAGAACCCTAGACATGATGACAGGCTGGAGAGGCTCGAGCTTTTCTCACTGGCGAGAAGAAGAAGGAGGGGAGACCTGACTGAAACGTTCAAATTTCTAAAGGGTTTGGATGAAATTGGGGAATATGGGAGACCATTACTACCTCCCAGAGAGAATCCAATGTTAAGGGATAATGACCTTAAGTTAGCTAAGGTCAGGGTATCCACCCCCATAAGGCAGCAGTCGTTTGCCATAAGGGTGGTGAACGACTGTAACAGACTACCCACTGAAGTAGTCAATTCCAGTTCGGTGAAGAGCTTCAAGACCCGCCTGGACTCTGCATGGCAATGTGTTTTCACCCAAGAAGCCACCTGACCAAAGTTGAAACGAGCAAAATGCGATTGTCCTGGTCCGAGAGAAATAAAAAAGATCTCGTCTGTATGCGTTCAATCAAATGATCCTTCGCTCGTTCTGGATAGCGATCAACAAATCTCAGAGCAACGCGTAGCCCAAATTATCGAGAACCAAGTCGATCCAAAAATAATCTACGGTACTATTTTTGCATTAATCACAAATACATAAGGCAGTCATACCTCTGATAGTGAGCCTGATTCACTATCCAGCCAAAATGTTACAAATATTCACAGAAAATATCTGCGGTAATAAAAAGTAAATGATAAAATGAGTGATTTGAACTACCCTTCAGATAATTCTGGACCAATAGGAAAATTCTGCACGCTTCAACAGATCAAGCAAAATAATCTTGAGCGTTACAGCCAAACGGGGTTCAATATAACCGGAAGCAACGGTTAGTTTAACAACGAGCGTTCAATCAAAACTTTGGTCGCAATAAAACAAGAAAAAGCACTGAATCTCATTTACGTATAAAAGCAAAGCACTTGAAGTGTGTCCCATAGATATGCTTCACCGTAGAAAAAGGTGAAACAGAAGGTTTAGAATAGAAAAATAGAATAGAAAACCACTGCCGGAAAGAATGCACGATAGAGTGGCGAATAAAGATAAGATAATGCCAGGTAATTGAGAGGAATTTTCAGTTATTTTGATTGTTACAAAATTGATTGTCCGGAAGCTCCACTCCCTGCTTCTCGCCACACTGCTTACGCTCTCTCTCTGCCGAAGTTCTCTCACTTACTATTTCCCTCTTTATCCATTACTACTATCTTCTATTCTTGCAGTATTATTTCCCCATCCCGTTTCCATTACCCAATTACTAACTTTACCACTAGACATCCGCATCCCTTTCGACCGTGGTTGTAAATTAGTTGTTGCCTCTGTCAGGGCCTGCTGCCCTTGATCCATTAGGCGTGAGCGGAATGTGGCGCAAGAATGAAAGATAATCATCCAACTCTCCTGAAGCATTTGATCGCAAAAATCAAGAAGAGAAGTGCGCGCGACTTCCTAGTGTCTCGTTGCCCGAGGTAGACAAAAACACTCGTGGGAGTCGTAAACGTTTACTGGCGAATCGTGGTACTAGACAGTACCGAAACGTGCCAAGGTGACGCTAAGCAATAAAAGCAATAAATGCAGAAGCAAAGCGAGAGCGCCCAANAAACCAAGACTCTCTGTACCCCAAGTTATTTTAAAAGACAGTACTGTCTTAAACACACCTAAGACAATTGCGGAGTCTTTTAGCGCAATGTTTGCCTCCAATCTCACGAATGAACCAATGCCAAATCCCCCAGTAATCCCGATACTCACTTCATCCACTTTATCCACGATCAACTTCAACCTAGAA